TGAGTATTTATTAATGTCATACCCTTGCCAAGTTATAACATTATGTCTAGGCCCATGTGCTAGCCATTTCAGATGTATCGGAGGCATTGTCACTTGAAAATATTTTGCTTTGAAACCAATTGATAAAGTTGTTGTTATGCTCTTTCATCAACCACCTTTCACCCATTTTGGGGTTTAGGTCCTTTAACATTGCTTTATGCGCATCTATGTAAGGAATAACCTCTTCTGTATTGTTCAAAATATACAAGTGGGCGGTGGTCAACTCTACATGATCTTTTGTTTGAATTCTAATACCACGAGTTCCCTTACCATTTAGCCTATCATCATGACGATTTCTAGGTACACCCACAGTGTACGACTCTTGCCAAGTAATCTGAACAAAATTTTATGGCTTCTTCCGCAATATACCGCTCAACAATTGAAGCTTCAGGTCTATATGGATTTTTAGAATACCCTTTGAAGATCTTCATGTATCGCTCAATTGGGTACATCCACCTCAAATAAACCGGCCCACAAATTCGTATCTCCCTCACAACATGAACGATTAAGTGAATCATTATATCAAAGAATGATGGAGGAAAATACATCTCCAATTGACATAGCACAACCGTAGCCTCATTTTCCAACTCATCTAGTGATTTTTCATCGATAACCTTGGCACAAATAGAATTGAAGAAAAAACATAGTCGCATAATGGCATGTCTAACATTCTTAGGCAATATGTTACGTATAGCCACGGGTAACAACTGTTGCATTAAAACGTGACAATCATGGGACTTTAATCCAATTAACTTCAGATCTTTCATGGATACAAGACTCTTAATATTTGAAGAGTATCCTTGTGGCACTTTAATACTTGCAAGACAATGACATAAACTACGTTTCTCCTTCTTTGACAAGGTGTGACATGCTGGTGGTAGATATGTTCTATTGCCTTCAGGCCTTGGATGTAATTCAGGACGTATTCCCATCTCACAAAGGTCTTGACGTGCTTTGATCCCATCCTTTGACTTTCCTTGAATGTTTAACAATGTGCCAATGAGACTATCACATACATTCTTCTCCACATGCATAACATCAATACAATGTCGTACTTCTAAATGGCTCCAATATGGAAGATCAAAGAAAATTGATCTCTTCTTCCACATGTTCTTGTCAGAAGACCTTTTTGGGTCTTTCCAAATGTAATGCTTATGTTCTTCACTCGATCGTAAACTTCTAAACCAGTCAATGGTTCTCTGGCAATTTCATCCTCCTGTATGCCATTAAAAGCTTTCTTCAGTCTACGGTATGGATGGTCATGCGGAGAAATTTTTTGTGCCTGTTATAAACTGTCTTCTTTCCATGTTTCAATTGTATATAACTGGTCTCTTCTTCACAAATAGGACAAGCATAATGTCCCTTCACACTATACCCACTCAAGTTTCCATAGGCAGGGAAGTCATTAATGGTGCAAAATAACATTGCATGCAACTTGAACTTCTGCTGCGATACCCATCAAATGCATCTACTCCTTCCTCCCATAATAGTGTTAAGTCTTCTATCAAAGGACTCAAATACACATCTATGTCATTTCCTGGCTGTCTTGGACCTGAAATCATCATACACAACATGACATATTTGCGCTTCATGCATAACCATGGTGGAAGATTGTAAATCATCAATAAAACGGGCCATGAACTATGGTTACTACTTAAATTTCCAAAAGGATTCATCCCATCTGTTGCTAATCCAAGTCTAAGGTTTCTTGCATCACTACCAAAACTTGGAAATAGACGGTCAAAATTCTTCCATTGGGGAGAGTCGGATGGATGCCGCATTTGCCCATCACATGTTTTTCTCTTTGAATGCCAAATTAAATTTTCAGCATCTTCGTGAGCGTACAACCGCCTAAATCTTGGAATAATTGGAAGATACCATAAAACTTTTGCAGGAGGACGTTTTTTACCACTCTCCCGACTACAATCATCACCATCCTTCGCTTTGTAACGTGATACACCACATGTTGGACATTGGTCTAAAGATGAGAATTCTTTCCTATATAACACACAATCATTAGGGCAAGCATGTATCTTCCTATATTCTAAACCCATCGGACATAGTATCTTCTTCGCTTCATACATACGGTCCGACAAGGTGTTATTGTCTGGGAGCATCTCCTTCAAAAGTTGGAGTAATTCATTAAAACTTGTATCACTCCAACCAAATTTGGCTTTTAGATTGACCAATCTTAACACGGATGACAACCGTGTGAAAGTTGTACATCCGGATACAAAGGTGTCTCCGAATCGGTCCTCAATGTATCATATATAGATGCATGTGCTTCAAGAAACCTCTCTTGATCCACATCACAAAGCATGTCCTCTATTCGATCTTCGCAGGTTACATCATCCTCAATAGTTTGTGATACTGTTGGAATATGAACCACTTCACCGTGCCATGTCCATATTGTGTAATTTTTCATCATCCCATCGCAAATAAGATGCTCCCGCGTTGTGTCCATCTCTTGTACTCTGCCATTTACACAATTAACGCATGGGCAGTAGATTTTTCCATTCATTTTGGGAGCATTTTGTTCGGCAAATTTCAAAAAGGAGTCAACTCCATTCTCATACTCTTCTGACATACGACTTGCATTGACCCAAGTTCGATCCATCTAACTACATAAGAAGGCTTGCCTAGATATTCAAGGTTTATTAGAAAAGGTTTAACAAAACAATACAAAAAAAACGTGTACATTGCCTAACAATGCTCTAATGTTCCATACATGCTCTAATGTTTCATATACCACTTCGAAAGCTAAAGCTAAAGCTAAACCTAAACCTAAACCTAAATGAAACCTAATGTTCCATATACCACTTCGAAACCTAAACGAACCTAGATCAAATCAAACCATATATACAAAATCATCCATCATCATTCTAATGTTCATACGCAGGAAATGCTCTAAATAATTCATATTTATGTTAAATGCATGTTGTAAATCATCCATGCAACTTAATCTAACCTCGATGAGAGCGCGGCGAGTGGGCGGCGAAGGAGGTAGCGATGCGAGGGGCGGAGCGCGGCGAGTGGGCGCCGAGTGGGCAACAGACCACAGCGAATGAGGTAGCAGCTGACGAGGAGGCAGAGCGAGGGCCGCGAACTGGGCGCGAAGGCGCGAAGGGGCGCGAGGGCGCGAGGGACAGCGAGTGAGGACCGAGGCACGAGAAGAAGAAGCAAAAGGAGGGAGTATATGGGACGAAGAAGAGGCAGACGAAGGGGAGCGTGAAAGACGAGAGGTATAAAGGACATTCAACGTCGGTTATTAAAAACCCGACGTGGATAACGCTTTCGACGTCGGGTAAATCATATAACCGACGTTGATTTTGGGAATTTAACGTCGGTTATAATATAACCGACGTTGAATTTCCAAAATCAACGTCGATTATAATATAACCGACGTTGAATTGCAGTTACTACGTCGGTTATTATGTAATCGACATTAAATTTTGCCTCATAATTACAAGTTTGCCACCGCGTCTTGTACAACGTCGGTGTTCGTGATAGCCGACGTTGTATGTCTGTCGTAGAAAGTGTTTTCTGTAGTAGTGATTATTATTTTTTTAATAGACTGATGCTTATATTTCCTATAAATAGTTACTTTTTATATTTTTAATAAATGATATTCATCTCTTTTATGTTTTAAATAAAATAATATTCGCTTTTTTATTTATAAGAAGATAATTTTATTTATTAAATTTTAATTTTAATTTTTTCATTTGAGTTTAGTAATACTTTGAATAAAATAAAATAAAAGTAAATATCTCACCTCATTAAAACTTCATTAAAATTATAAAACGTTACTATTATTTATTAAAAATGAAAGAAAATGAATATATATTTAAATATTATAAGAGATATGAGCGTCAATTTATTAAAATTAAATGAAAAATAGTTTGTTGTTTTAAAATAAAGGATATATGTATAAGTCATTAAAAATATAATAAAAAATAATCTCTAACATAAAGTTATAATATATAACATAATCTCAAGAAAAATAATTATATATTCATATATATATATATATATATATATATATATATATATATATATATATACATATAAAGTAATTTCTCAATTGTTAATAATCATATTAAATAGTTTCTTAAATAGTAAAAGCTATTCAAAAAATTTGATCTAATTGCAAATAAAAATATATCCAATTAGAAATTAAAATTGATGGATAGTTCATATACTTATATAATTTTATTATTTTAAATAAGGTTACATTATATATTTTGCCTTATTATAAGATTCAGTCTAATCTTTTTATATTTTAAAATTTTCGTTTTGATCTTTCATTTTTTAAATTTGATTTTTCACAAAAATAGATATCTTGTTTGATTGAAGATAAATTTTGAACCGCTAGTTCCAGCCAGAAAGCTTATTTGGATTTGTATTACATCCAACTATAAGACCTAACTAATGTTAAAAAAAAAACCATAAAGTATGTCGGAAATAGTTTGAAAATTACGTTCCACAAATAATGAAAAGAAGGAAAAAAAATCAAATATTAACTTCTGTTTTCGGTAAACCAATAATTTAAAATCTTATCCTAGAATTGAAAATAATAATCGTTTTAAAATGATAAAATTAAGACATTTAAATCACAAAGGAATATATAATCAATTTATACGATAAAACATGAAAAAGCGTAAAAATAAAAAGAGAGGTTTGAAGAAATATCTATTTAATATTTTTAGAGAAGAATCAGCCGCGAAACGACGTCGGCTTAGACCATCTGAGTCAACGACGGCGTGCGCGGTTTGCACCGTCACTGGAATCAATCCAGCACGTGTCAGGCATATCCAAAATTCATCATCTTCTGCATTTTCCGTATCCACCACGAACCAAATCAAACCTACTTTTTTTTTTTGCCGTTTTTTTCCTTTTCCGTTTTCGTGAATTTCCCAATTCAGAAAAACCTCTCTTGCACCGTCGTATTGCAGTGATCAAAGATGTTGGAGCAGTTACTGATATTTACTCGAGGAGGGTTGATCCTGTGGACCTGCAACCAATTCACCAACGCCCTCAAGGGGTCTCCGATCGACACGTTGATCCGCTCTTGCCTCCTGGAGGAGCGATCCGGTGCGGCCAGCTTCACCTACGACGCACCTGGAGCCTCCTACTCCCTCAAATGGACCTTCCATAATGACCTTGGCCTCGTCTTCGTCGCCGTCTACCAGCGCATCCTCCAGCTCCTCTACGTCGACGATCTACTTGCCGCCGTCAAGCGCGAATTCTCGCGCCTCTACCACCCCCAAAAAACCGCCTATGGAGATTTTGACGAGATCTTCCGCCAGCTCCAGATCGAGGCTGAGGCTCGCACCGAGAATTTCAAGAAAACGAATTCCCTCCCCGCTGTGGGTCCTCAAAGGAAACAGCAAAACGCCGCCTCGCAGGGGCAGGGGCAAGGGCAAAACGCTGGGTCAGAAAAAAAGAGCGATGGTGATGGTAATGGGAAGAAAGGGCGTAGATTGGAGAGTGGTGGTTTTGTTGTAGCTAATAATAATTGTAATGCTAACTTGAAGAATAGGGGTAATGGTAGTGTGAATACTGGGAAAGAGAATGCGAGTGCTAATATAGGGGCTTTTGATGTAAATAGGCTGCAGAAGCTTAAAGGAAAAGGGGGGAATGGGAATGGGAAGAAGAAAGAAGCTGTTGTTGCTGTTAAAGCTGAGCCTAAAAAGGTGGTTAAGAAAAACAGGGTTTGGGATGATTCTACGCCGCAAACCAAACTGGACTTTACGGATCATCTTGATGGGGATGGAGATGGGGATAAAAAGGTTGACTTTTTAGCTAAGGAACAAGGGGAGAGTATGATGGATAAAGAAGAGGTTCTTAGCAGTGATAGTGAGATTGAAGAAGAAGATGATGATGATACTGGAAAGGGTAGCAAGCCTGAGGCTAAGAAAAAGGGTTGGTTTTCGTCTATGTTCCAGAGGTGAGATTTCTTTGTAGATATAGTGAAAATGTGAAATTTGTCTTTGGTTACGCATTTTATTTGTTTTACCATTGTGTTTCATTTGCTCTATAATTACTGCTTTATATAGTTCCGGGCTTGATAGCGTGGTGCTTGAAAAATTATATTTGGGTTTGCAGTGCATTGGATTTTTCTGCTTTTCTGTGAAGAGTTTGTTGTTTATGTCATTGTTGCCGTGTATACCTGGATAATTGGATTGTTCGGATGATGATTCCTGTGCTCTGGTATTCTTCACAAAAATAATGTGATATCATTGAATTGAAACCTTATGGATAATTTTTTTTGCTATGTTGATATGTATAATATGTGATCTCTCTAAGGTACACATTCATTGGGAATATGCACAGTGATTAAAATTGTTTTGTTGTCAGGAAATTTAGGAAAGGAGTAGGGATCATAAATTGATGGGAGAAAAGGGTAAAGGAATTAATTAAATTAAAGAGTTATTCTTGGTTTTATTACTAATATGGCATTATGTAGATCTTGCATTAAGTCCCATTTTGTAAATCTAGAGATGCTGCCCAATTACCATTTTCCTTTTGATGGTATCAACTGGTTTGAAGCTTATTGTGTTGCTTTGATGCAAATAACTTGCAATTTCCTTCTTTGAACTGAACGACTGATAAGAATATTCATGTACATCCTTATGCTCAGTATTGCTGGAAAGGCCAATTTGGAGAAGTCAGACTTGGAACCGGCTTTGAAAGCTCTCAAGGACAGGCTCATGACCAAGAATGTGGTATGCATTTATCCTCAACAGAATTAATATCTAAATGGTTATCCATTGGCTTATTTTTCTTATTATCAAGCTTGCTAATTTGTTTACATTTTTTGTCTTTTGTAGGCCGAGGAAATAGCTGAGAAACTATGTGAGTCAGTGGCAGCAAGTCTTGAAGGCAAAAAGCTAGCTTCATTTACAAGGATATCTTCAACAGTGCATGTCTGTTACTAACCTTTGACCTATCAGCATGTGATACTGGCTTTTCTTTATATATATTTTCCATATCATTCATACTGATGCTATGGTTCAAAAAATGAATGCAGACAGCAATGGAAGATGCACTTGTTCGTATTTTAACCCCAAGGCGTTCTATTGACATATTGAGGGACGTGCATGCTGCCAAGGAGCAAAGGAAACCATATGTTGTTGTGTTTGTTGGAGTTAATGGAGTTGGAAAATCTACTAATTTGGCTAAGGTAAAGAAAAATCATATATTTTCTCCTCTTTATTTAATATTCCATAAGTTGGACTTGCTTTTTAACCAGCAGGAGATATTTTATATTGTGTGTTTGTGTAGGTTGCTTACTGGCTTCTGCAACACAACACTAGCGTCATGATGGCTGCATGTGATACATTTCGATCAGGAGCTGTTGAGCAGCTGCGGACACATGCACGTAGACTGCAGGTTTATATTGATTTTACTGCTCAGAGATTAATGCATGTATACATACACACACACACACACACACACATATATATATGCTTCATGGCATAATCAGTTATTGGAAACATATAGTCTTAGAAGTTCCCTTTTCAGATCCCTATATTTGAGAAGGGCTATGAGAAAGATCCTGCCATTGTAGCAAAAGAAGCAATTCAGGAAGCTTCACGCAACGGTTCAGATGTGGTTCTAGTTGATACAGCTGGCCGTATGCAGGTAATTATTGCAGTTATTGTTATAGTAAAGTATTATTTATTCCCTGTTTTGTTTACAGTCTTTGCAGTTACTTTCCTATAATGAACTTTCTGTTTATTTTTTCTATATTGGAATAGAGTACCACCCTTGTTTTAGATTGAAACCTCTTGATCGGCTTTATTTGGATGTCATTGATGGAATTTATTTCAATGCTTTTACATGTTCATCTGACATGTCACCGCTGGTTTGCAGGATAATGAACCACTGATGAGAGCCCTATCAAAGCTCATCTACCTCAACAATCCTGACCTTGTCTTATTTGTTGGAGAAGCACTTGTTGGTAATGATGCAGTTGATCAGCTTTCAAAATTCAACCAGGTTTGGTTCTCCATAACATTTGTCCAACTATATTTTTGTTTTTGTTCGTTTTTCCTATATCAGTTAGGTAAATCTATTTCATTGCAGAAATTAGCCGACCTCTCAACATCTCCCACACCCAGATTGATAGATGGGATCTTGCTCACAAAATTTGACACTATTGATGATAAGGTATGCAAGTTCAAAAACTTGAAGGAAGTTAAATTTTAGCTGAGCATTTGGATCTTGATGAATATTTATTGACATGTTCCTTTGTCAGGTGGGAGCTGCACTGTCAATGGTTTACGTGTCAGGAGCTCCAGTGATGTTTGTGGGCTGTGGACAGTCCTATACTGACCTTAAGAAACTGAACGTCAAGTCAATTGTGAAGACACTCCTTAAATGAGAAACCAAAATAAACCTGTCATGAATGTTTCTGTTTGGTGAGTAACTTATTATCCCCGTAGATCCCATTACTTAGTAAGACAACACAGTGGAGACAATTTGGTTTGTTTTTATTGGTATGCTTCTTTCCTCTTTCCACCATGAGAATAACGCGTGTAAGATGATTTAACTTTGTATCATGTGTTATTGAATTTTTCTCACCTTAATAAGTGAATATCCCATGTGGATCGTCCAAATGCTTAAAGCGCGTTTTCTCATATGGCGTTGATGTGATTTTCCGCGTTTTCCCTCAGTCTAATATACAATACATTCCATGTCTTTTTATAGCTAAACGTGGTTTTTCACGTCACTAGTGTTTCCAAACACATTTTATTGCGACAAATGCGTAGTAAGTTACAGATAAGATTTAGCTAATTTTATGATAAAGGAGAGTACTAAAATAAGGAGCACTTCCTCTACCTATTTGGAATGTTGTGTATGCGTAGTTATAGATTGTACTAGTGTTGCATACTTTAAAAAGCCCAAACAATTGATCATTTGTGTTACACTTGTGAGTTTAGATTAAATTGGAAAAAGTCGTTTAACTTTATACCTCTCTTAATTAGGATTCTACACTGATTGGGTCGGGTTGTTTTTCATCAAATCTTTCACTAAACTTAATAACAGAATATTAAGTTGGGTTGAGTTTTTTTATTTTTTTTTTTATTGACTCAATTCATCTTCGAGTTAGGGTAGATTAGATTAATTAGGTCATAAATTTTTAAAATATTTTTAAAATATTTTTATTTTAAAATATATATTTTATAATTTTTTTAAAATGGATTAAATAATTTATTATCTAATAATTTAATAATCTAATATTTCAAAAATATATATTTATTTAATATAATAATTAAATAATTTTGATGTAATAGGCTGGGTTGGATATCAAAGTAAACATATAAAACCTATGACTCACTTTATAGAAGAGTAGGATCAGCCCGTATGACCCAACTACAAATAAAATTCAACCTAATTTATATAGGTTAGATTGGATAGTCGAATTTACCCAATTCAATAAACATTATTACTTCTAAATTTTATTTTATTTTTAATATCAAATTCTTACACATTTGAGTTTTAAAAAAAATATGAATTTGAGATTATGTAAAAACGAAAAAAGATAAAAGTATTTTATTATGATCCCAAATCATTTTAAATTGCATATAATTATGAGAAAATAAATTCTAATTATAGAAAAATTAGAATCTTAGTAATTTCTCTTTACTATTGTTTAATCCTTACAAGAAAAAAAATCATACAGAAAGTACAAAATAATTTCTACCTTTTACTGAAGTTATGGCCACATTTTTCATGTAAGGATTTGATTAAACAAGAAAATAATGTCAAATTTAGGTGCTGCACAATAGTTTATCCAGTCCAGTACAGAGAGTTGTTATTTGCAACATATGTTTTTGAATAAAACTTTGAGGATGGTAGGTTGCTTCATTTTAACGTCAATTTCCCACAAGTGAACAAAGACTTGGATGGTAGGTTGTATTTGAATTAAATTATTAAAACGATTAACATTTTTTTGGTGGAATATTAAGATTATATACATAATAAAGATATAATTAATGTGTATGTTTGAGGCACAGAAAAATTTATTTGCATGTGGCATTTGCGATTGTGATAAGTCACAACGAGAAACAGGAAGATGAAATTGGTGTGAAGATGTGACACGCTGCACCTGCGTTTGCCTCTACTTTCAAACCAAATAACAGTTAACCCCTCACAAAAATAAGAAGCTAAATGCCATGCACTTTTAAATTACATGTTAGTTGGCATTTAGCACTTTGCAAAAATATATTTAAACAGTGTAATCAAAATGAACATGGGTTTGTTAATAATTATTTTCGTTGAAGAATTTGGGTTCCATATTAAAAAATATATTAATATATTAGTATTGGAATTTGAGCGGGGAATGCATTCATTTACTTTGATTAATTAGTCATTTTAGGTACCTTTTTGATGAAATTTATGTGCTTTACATCCTAAAAGGTATGAAAAGGTGCTTTTTCATTCAAAACCAAGCATTTTGGCCCATTACTTTGCCAAGTGGCTATGATTCACAACTTTCCCTATTTATTTAATACTAATTCGGAACACAAAACAAAACCTACCACTGCTACTTTTACGTGCTTCCCACATCTCTGAAAATGAACATGGCAAATAATGCATCACTGTTTTTGGTGATTCTCTCAATGTGCCTCTTCATTTTTTGCTCTGAAGCCAAAGAATATGTGGTTGGAGGCTCTCAGAATTCCTGGAAAGCTCCTCTCTCCTCACCAGATTCACTCCACCACTGGGCCAACTCTCACCAATTCAGAATCGGAGATACTCTCAGTACTCATCACCTATTCTAAATCATTTTTACTACTATTCTTGAGAAATTATTCGTATAATAACAAGATTCTTTTGTTTTCAATTAGCATTGAGGTTTGCATTCTGTTTGCAATGTTTTACTATTATGCAGTATTTAGATACGATGAGAGAACTGAATCCGTGCATGAAGTGAACGCGACAGACTACGAACGGTGCAACACGGTGGGGCAAGAACATGTGGTGTTCAAAGATGGAAACACCAAGGTCTTGCTCACAAAATCTGGATTCAGACACTTCATTAGTGGGAATCAGAGTCACTGCCAGATGGGGCTAAAACTCGCTGTGGTTGTTGTCATCTCCAAGAAAACCAAAACCCAAAACAAGCCTGCTCCTCCAACTCCTTCTCCTTCACCTTCACCATCACCTTCACCATCACTATCACCTTCACCTTCACCACTTCCAAATAATCACGGTGTTAGTGGTAGTTCAAGTGGTGGATTCATCGGAGTTATGATGTGGTTGGGGGTGATGATGTTATTGGTTTGATTTCAGAGTATATTCTGTATTTGCATGTTAATGTCTACGTGGCTACATGCAACATATATTTATGTGGTACGTAGTGAATTAGGTCAAGCATTTTCATTTTTTTTTTTTTTAAGTGTGAACGATTTTCCTTTGATGGGTAAAGGGCTGTTTGGAGGGAGAACGATTGTGCCCTAAGGTCTTGGTGATTTTGAGATTCAATAAGTCATTTGGATTTTTAAATGCATGTGCTTTGGCTCTTTCCAAAGTCATTGTTTATTGCCAAATAAAGCCTCTTGATCTGTATTTTACTATTTCGAATTAATCAAAATAATTTCCACTAATCTACATATAATCTTGAATATATATGTATATGTTTGGAAAGAATAAATGTGTATAACTAATATATCTTTAACTATAATTTATCTTCAATATTAGTTAAATTTTAAGAAATGTAAAAGTTGTTAATTTCCTGGACTAGAACCTGCTATAATCATTTTAAATAGTGTTAGACAATAAAACCACTACACCACCTATTATAATTACAAAATCATTAAATATTAAAAAAATCAACTGCAGAGTTAATTACGAGAATTAATGATAATTACAATTATAGTACTACAAGTCACTATCACTCATGAACACAAATCTATTTTTATTTTAATTACAAAATATCAAAATGTAATACATCATTTGGTCTATGTGTATATTATTATTATTAGACATGAAATATTATATAATTATATAAACTTTTACATAATATAAAAACCAAGTTAATCTAAGAAAACTTGTTTTATATATAACTTCATTAATCTAAGAAAAATAATAGTCCTATGTTGCTTTAAAATGTAAAATTTTCTTAATCAATATATTTTTCAAAATATAAACTTGAAGTATTCCGTACTTCAATGTTCCTGACTAAGTAGAAAATTGAGCTTGAATATTCACAACCTGTGCCAAAAACATTCGTCAGAGAACTTGAGTGAATAGTGGTGTTAAAATACTTTTTTCCGTAGAAAATTAGGTCAAACCGAGGTTGTTGTTGACCTTCTCAGTTACCCCATGAAACTATTTTTGAAGGTCAACCACACTACGTGTCAAATGGCAAACACTATCATCTCTGGAACTCCACTTGCACACAAAACATTGTTTTTCGCCTTAAACTCCTCGTTACCGCTCCAACGTTCTTGTCTTTCTTCAGCAAAAACTGAGAGTCATAATAAACATATATATATATATATATATATATATATATATATATATATATATATATATATATATATATATATATATATATATATATTCAAGTCGCGTATACTAAACATTGAGAAAGAGAGAATAAACATGACAAAAGTTAAGGAAGCAATGAAAGAGGGTTCTTCTTCTTCTTCTTCTTCTTCTGCTGCTGCTGCTGCTGCACCTCAGCAACATTCGACAGATGTACTTCACCAACGTAGTAAAATGCCTCGCAGTCCCATGAAAATGGCCATTGTGGGCTTTGCAGCAATCTCTGTGTTGGGTTATTTGGTTTTGTACTCCAACAAGAAGCCTGAAGCATCAGCAATGGATGTTGCTAAGGTTGCTTCTGGAATGTCCAACCCAGAGAACACTCATCCTCGCAAGTAGATATCACCAATTAATATTTCCCACCTTCCATCATTCATGCACATACATTTTCTTTTTTGTATCATTTCTTTTTACTTAAATTTCTTCAAAATTTTGTGCGTGTGTGTGTGTTTTTTCTAAATTGTGTTAATTAGCAATAGACTGCAATAAACATGTAGTTCTTATTTTCCTTATATATCATAATGTTAATTATCTGAATGGAATTGAAAATGAACAACATCAAGCTTCAGATCATTTTCTCCCCTGAATAATGATCAAAACATAAAAAAAAAAGAAAAAGAAAAAAGAGTTATAGAATAAGAAGAAAAAGAGTTTCGCTCTTTGATATACGAATAATTTATCATTCATTTTATTCTATTGAATTTATTTTTTTAATTTCAATAATTCATTTTTCATTTTATTTTAAAGTAATTTTTTTTAAATTAAATAATTCTTTTTTCATTTTAAAGTAATTTATTATATCACATCCAATTTTATAATAAAAAATTACTTTAAATAATTCACTTAAGTATTTTAATAAATTTAATTCACTACTGCATGTGAATAATTCATTTATAATCTCTTTCCAATTGATTTTTTTTACGGGCTTGTATAAAAAGAATTAAAACAATAAAATCTAATTATCTAACTATTATCGACTAATTTAGTGTATTCCAATCATGTAATGTTTCAAAAACCATTTCTAGGGAAACTTCATACAAAATAAAAATATGAAGCTCGTGTAAATTAAATTGAAAGGTTAGTGCATATTTCTTTCATGTAAATATATGAGAAGCTCTAAACTATTAATAGATTATTTGTTTTCTATGTACGAGTTATCGATGAACACTTGAAAGAGAATAACATTTTTTCTTTTCACATCTCATCTCGTTTTCTTCCTTCGTCTTACACCATTTTTGTTTCGTTATTTTCATATGATTTTTTTCCTCTTTTATGTATTCATTACTCCAATTTTTTACATATGAAAAATTATAGATGATAATTCATTTTTATAAAAAAAAATTGTGATGTTTTGTAATGAAATATATTGAATTAAAATCATGAGAATAATTTAACTAAATAAAGTTATAAAATTTCAAAATTTATCTAAAAAATAATAATTTTAAAATTTATGTATATTTGTTTTTTTCTTATAGCATTGATCGTGATTGCATTTGGTTAATGTTAATTAGAATATTATCGGTTAATTAGAATGTTATTAGTTAAAAAATATTTAATTAAAATAATATGACCAATAAAAAATAACTTTGATTTATCTATGTTTGTTAACAAAATCTTCATTAATCAACAATTGATTTTTTTACATCGACCATTTCAATTACTATTTATTAAAAGAATTATTTATGTATATTTTAAAATTATTAGATATAATTTAATATTAAAATAAATATTCTTTATATTGTTTAGTAATTAACTATTGTATCTGAATAAAATAAATCAAAACTTAATCAATTTAAATTTTCTTATATAAATAAAACATTTTAAATTAAATCTAATTTAAATTTATTATATTTTATTTTTTTTAAATGATTAAATTTCCTATCCAAACGCCACTCAAACCAATAAGACACTACAAGAAAAAAGCCTATTACCTACTGAATATTACCTACGGGTAAAAATCCGTAGGAAAATTTTACAGTACCTACGGATTTTACCTACAAAAGTATATTCGTATATAAATTATCTATTACCTACTGAATTTACCTACGGATGGGATGATTATGCATTACCTACGGATGTAGGAGGTAGGTAATGTTTTTTTACTACTTTACCTACTCATTTACCTACGGATGTTAAATAAAAAAAAAAAAAAAAAAAACCTTGCTACACTTCCTCCGCGTCTCACTCAAGCTCCCTAACTCCTCCTTCGTCTCCCTCAATTTCACTAACCTCTATAACCCGCCACCCACCTCCTTCACCAGAACCCTAGCTGACTACTGCAAAAAAAGGCTTTTTACATCGGTTAAAATGGGCTTTCTACGTCGACATATAGACGGGGGTCATAGAAAGTAAGACTTTCTACGTCAGTTCCTAATAACCGACGTAGAAAGTAACTGGTTCTGATCGATCATAACTGGTTCTGATCGATCATAACTGGTTATGATCGGTCATAGAAAGACTTTCTACGTCGGTTAGTCAGGGAACCGACGTAGAAAGTCTTACTTTGTATGAGCTATTCTGATCGGTCATAACTGGTTCTGATCGGTCATGATACTTTCTATGTTGGTTAAACTTATAACCGACATAGAAAGTCTTACTTTCTAACTTTTTATAACCCCAGTATCTATATCGGTTAACAGTAACCGTGATTGTATGTGTTATCAATGTCGGTTATACCTATAACCGACATAAAATGTTAAACTTTCTACGTCGGTTATGGCAATACCCGACGTAGAAAGTACTTTCTACGTCGGGTAATGTCATAACCGACGTAGAAAGTGTTATTTTTTTAAAAAAAATCTGCATTTTCTTCACAGATGCTACCTTTCTTCGAGTAGACCTGCCTATTCATCACAGTTCCAGACAAATATTCACAGATCCAGTACAGACAGATATGCACAGTTCATATATAAATTTGCTACAGATATATATCCAGTACAGACAGATCCTGTTGCAGACAGATATGTACATATGAAATACATTGAAATCAATATATGTACAGACAGATCCAGTTCCAGACAGTTCATTTACTTAAACGAATGTAAATTTCCTAACTTAAATCAATTCAATCTAAATTGTTACAAGTCAAATTTCCTATGAAGATTGAATGCTTAAAAGGAAAGAAGCCCACTGCTTTCTAATATCGTCTAAGACTTCAATCTTCATTGGAGATGAGTCTGTAAATTCCTACATATTGAAACATTTCAGATTTAGAAATCATTTACATAATTGGCATATTTGACTTAATTATAGTATATTTACCTCCCTCTACGTGTCAAGAATATTTTTGGCTATGATGGTGTGCATGTGCTTCATCACATAATACCCGCACTCATGGCTTCCCGGTTGGCGTGGACACTACAAGTTAAATACATGTCAGATTAACTTTAAATGACAAATTGAACAACAGTAAGAGGTGTTTGGTCACCTTTGGTGCAATATACGTCAATTTCTTTCTAGCATGAGATGGAAGGCCTTGCAAACTTAGGTGAGCTTCCAACACAAAAGGACAAATAATTTTGGTGTAAGTAGTGCACATATGATACAACAATTAAAAAAACCAAACTTACGCGTCTATTTGCTTTCTAATATCCAAATCATTTGGTTTCTTGTGTAATGAACACAAGAGAATCACAACAAATTTCCGAGGAACAATGATTATGAGCTGCCAATGACCCCTGCACGTTGAAATAATATTAGTAAAATTTCAGTTTTACATAAATGTGCATTAATTTATAAGATGTATACTTACTTATGCAAGTAAGGTGCTAAGTAGACTTCTTTGCCCCCAGTTTGAAATGCCTCTATTAAGTACGTTTGCACCTCTTCAGCTTTATTCCCAACGGACTGAATGGCAACAGGGTCAAGAAATCCATAGAGAAAGCGGATCTTCCTCTCAACACACAAACGATGTAAATACCTTCAACATTGAAAATAAATAAAGTTATAAAATAATGTACCAAGTGAGAATATAAAAAATATGTAAATATACTTACATTTCCCAAAGCTGCAACACCGATACACATAGCATATCGGTTCAGCGAGAATATCAAAAATATCCCTTTGGAGTAAGAAAAAAGGGATCGTCTTGGTCCCGCATACGACTTCGGGTGGCATATCTAACCGTATGGGAGTGGTCTCGATAGTCGTCGCCGATGCACCGACTCGCTGTAAGCGAGATGGTGGTGGTGGTGATTCATGCACAACTTCCTTTGCTTTTTCAACCTCTTTCTATACAAGTACCAAAAATCAATAACATTAATATACATCAACCTATCAAAAAATAATAAGTACTATCGTTCAATGCATAAATCAACCTGTGCATGTGTTGGGATGTGTCTTGTTAATGAAACTGACCATAAGATAAAATGGCCAGGTGCCTGTCCCACTGTTTGAACCTCTTCAGTGGGAATAGGGATTGGGGCAAGCAAGCATCCCGGACATCTACAACCACCACTCGATCATATCATCTCCAATACTCTGGTGGTGGATGGTTGACCCCAATGCATACATTTTCCCTAAGGTAAACAAAGGATAAAATATGTTAGACTATATAATGCTTAACACTGTACCAAATACATGTCAAAGATATAATACGTACCGTATGCCACCAAATGCTCGGGAGGACCCGCAACATACAACCGACGGTCAGCGGTGTCGGTAGGAGCAACCTCTCGCCCCTCTATCGGGAGTATCACAACTCTCCTTTGTGCCGACATGAATCGGGGATGCCTCTCGTGCGGGGACGGAAGGTTGAGAGGACAAAGATGCCAACTCGCTCGCATTGAGCTCAATAACTCTGCCTTCAAGTCGAGTACACCTCATCTCGAATCTCCTTCCTAATTTGTTGTTTGAGGGACTCAAACTCTTGCTCATTCGGATGCCTCAAAGAAGGAGTTGCCACGGATGGGGCACCAAAGTACTGTCTCGATGCCCACCCTCGTCCAGGCACCACGAACACGTCCAGGATGCTCCGGGGTACCAATGGCCACTGCCAATATATCCCGACGGCCATGTGGGTGGAATGATCCCCGAGTGCTCTGCTCAACCAACTCATCCTACAACACAAAGGAATGATTTTTTAGCAAATACATATGCCTATTGTAGTATAACATATATAATTAGTTTAGGATATGCTACTTACAATACGTTGAGCAACAACATTAGTTTGCTCAGATAAGTAATTCCCCGATGAGTTCCGCGAGCTCTCTTCCATTTATCATGGCGTGAAGGGCGGGTGACAGAACTCACAACCGACTCATCTCGAAGGTAGACTTGAAGAAGTCTCCTTCATCATCTTCTCCTCCAATTTCTCATAACCCCCACGAGACAACCTGTGG